TTTTTAAAAATATGTCACTTGTTTTTGATTGGAGATCTTTCTTCTTTTTTAAAATAGGCTTTTATAAATTTTAAATTTCCCCCTAAGCACTGTTTTAGCTTCCTACCATAACTTTTGGTATGAGATGTTTTTTGTTTCATTCATCTCAAAGTATTTTCTATTTTTCCTTGTGATCTCTTCTTTGAAACATTGGTTACTTAACAGTGCGTTGTTTACTTTTCACATACTTGTGAATATCCCAAATTTCCTCCTTTTTTATTTCTAACTTTATTACTCCGTTATTGGAAAACATACATTTTATTATTTCCATATTTAAATTTATTGAAGGTCTTTTTTTAATGGCCTAATATATGATCTATCCCAGACAAAATTCCATGAGCATTTGAGAAGAATGCGTGTTCTGCAGTTGTTGGGTAGAGTGTTCTATAGATGTCTGGAAGATCTTGTTGGTTTATACTGATGTTTATAGCTTCTATTTCCTTATTCCTTTTGTTTAGTTGTTTTATCCATTATTGAAAGTGAGGTATGGAAGTCTCCAATTATTATTATTAAATTTCCTATTTCTCCCTTCAATTCTATCAGTTTGTCTCACATTTTTGTCACAAGATTTTATTGTAAGAGTACTTATTTTGGTAATTATTACATAATTATCCATTATGAAATTTAGAATCAGTTTGTCCAGTTTAAGAAAGAAACCTGTCTCTACTTGAGATTACATTGTATTTGTGTATCAATTTAAAGAGAATTTGCATCTTTCAAATATTGAGCTTTCCTATCCAAGGCGATAGTCTTTGGACTTATTCATGCCTATTTTATGTCCCTCAATAGAGTTTTAGTGTTTTAATATTTTCTTCCTATACATTCCTACACATTTCTGCTTAAATTTGTTTTTACGTATGTTAGATTTTTATGTGAATAAACATGTTCTTCAATGTATTCAACAATACATTTCTAATGCATTGTTGCGTATATAAAAGGAAACTATTGTTTTGTTTCTAAAAACTTTACAACCAGACTCATGTTGAAATCTTTTTTTGTCTAACAATTTCTCAGTTGATTCTCATATTGCAAATATGTGACCATAATGTCTTAAAAACATAATAATTTTTACTTCTGTTTTCCAGTCATCATACCTCTTTCCTAATAGTATTGGCTGGCACTTCCAAAAAATGTTCAGTATTGGTAGAGATTATAGGCATCCTTATCTTGTTTCTGACATTAATGAAAATATTTCTAGCATTTTACAATCAAGCATGATGCATTTGGGGGTAGTTTTGGTGGAGAACTGTGTATATGATTCATGGCGTTTAAGTATATGTCTATCCCAATTTAATTAAGGTTTTTATAATGAGTAAACATTGAAGTTTATGAGGTGACTTTTCAGTATTTATGAAAATACTCACATGGATTTTCTCCTTCAATCTATTAGTGTGGTGAATTATATTAACAAATTCATTAATATGGAACCATTCTTATTTCCTACCTGTTTGTCTTCTATTTTTCTTTGAGCATATTGGTGGATTCTACTTGATAACATTTTGTTTATGATGCTTACTTTGAAATTCAAGTGTGATTGGTCTATACTTTTCTTTTTTATGCTATCTTTGTTGAGTTTTGATCTTGGAAATATAATGGCTTCATTTAAAAAATTAAGAAAGTTTTGTTTTATCTCTATGTTCTGGGAAATTTTGAATGAAAATTGCCTTTTCTGTCCCTTAAATATTTAGTAAAATTCACCAATGAACCTTCCTAGGTTCATTGAAAAAAAAAGCGTTTTTTCAGTAACAGCTCTTAGATAACTTTTACAATTATCTTCCATGTTTTTTCATTCTCTGTTTTCAGTTGATTTCAAGAAGGTAAGTATGTCAGAAATACTATTACTACGTTATTTTTAAGGAGAAATAGTCTCCATAAAAGGTTTCAACCCAGGAGTGTTGGAACCTTTCTTCTTTGGAGCTTTTCCAAAACATAGAGCCACAGGTCCTGCTCCTAGAGATTCTTATTAAGTAAGACTGGGGTGGAGCCCACGTTTTTGTAGTTTTAACAAGGTTCTCAGGGAATTCTGCTTCACTTTTCAACAAGATCTCTAATTTTTCTTTTAGATCTGGTTTTTGACTTTAATGTGGTAGCTTCTTTAAAAAAATAGAGCATCTAGAACTGAAGAAGCCATGCTTTGACTCTGAGACACTTTCGTAACGTTTTGCTCATTATAATTTTTATAACCTTTTATAATTTTCAAATAATAAAACATATAGAAAAATTTATCAAAGATTTGTACTAACTTTGAATCATATCATCTATTGTCTCTCTTCTTCTGCCTCCACCATAGACACACACACAGAAGTAACCACACATATGTATGCATACATATACACACATGCTTATATGCAACCACGTATGCACACTCCATATCTACACACAACTCAAAAATATGGACACATGTGAATACTCATGCACACATGCTCACACACGTGTATACTCACAGTACACAACCTAAACACACAGAAAGACACATTTGTGCACACATGCTCACACACATACATGTTTGCACACTCGCACATGCACAGATATTTACATGCACATACACTTACACGCACAGTTACACCTACTTTCTCCTAAAAAGGTATAGTGAAAAGGACAAGGGCCTTGATCAGACCTTGACACCAGTCCTGGCTGTGCCAATTACTAGTCCTATGACCTTTCTGACCCTCAGTTTGCTGCTATTATTACAAGCCCTATCTCACTAGACCATAGTAAGAATCAAGATATAAAGGCCTAAAAAGCTCTACTCAGTTGTGTATTCCTATATAATAATGTCATTATTTTCGAGAGACTTGTTTTTCTTTACAAAACCATTCAGCGTGATTTGGACATCTGGTAGTACCTTTTACAGATGAAAAATTCAAGGCACAGAAAGTTTTAACTTAACCCACCCTGTGAAGCAAGCATGGTGGAATTTGTGTTCTAACCTTGTTCTCTTACCTTTGGGAGCCTTGCTCCAAGCATCATCAGTGTTATACTGCACCTTCTGGAGCTACCATCCTGCTGCCATAAAGGAGATTGTACTAAGATGGCAATTTAAACCTAACCGGTTTTAGCATTTAAAAACTTGGCTTAAGACAGTAAATGGAAATATTTACTGTGGATGTGACTCGGAGGGCTATTGAGCCCTCTACTATACTTCTGTTTCTCCCAAAAGCCAAAAATAATAATAATAATTAA